TCCCTCGTTGCCCAAGTCGTTCAAAGGAAACACAGAATTGTTGATTTGGGTGGACCTGTTTACCGGATATGTGATTGCCGTGCTGACCTCTCATCATACGCACTCTCGACTGAAGTTTGTCTGGCTTGCGTTATCGTGTATATGTCTCTGACGACCAAGGCTTCAAGCGGGGGTGCATCTCCACCTTCGATCTGGATTTCTGCGCCTACGTAGTGCTTTATTTGCGGACTTCAAGCCCGCTCCTGTATATAGCGGGGAGAGAAGCTTGGATCGCGCTCCAACTTGCAGCGCAAGCTGTCCTTGTTCCAGACGGAGATTTGATGTGCAGGTGCTGAGACTTGCGTTCAATATGTCAAATCAGATTGGCTCCGTGGCTGTGCAGCGCTACGTTTGACGATCTTTGAGTAGGGCTCCTCGCAATCGAAGCGTCATTCCTCAAGCTCCTGCGTCGCGCGCACATCGAACCCACCATGCGCGCTCTAACCGGACTTTACCTGTCCGCGGCCTGCTGCCTCTTCGGCCAAGCACTCGCTTGGGATCAACAACCCGACGGCTACGAGGTGATCGACGGTCCCGATGGCCCCGAGTCCGTGGACGCATGGCGTCGTGACTGGACCGTCTGGAAGAACATGGAGCTGATCAACAACCGGTACAGCCCGAACGACTCGTGCAACGTGTACAACATCCAGCAAACTCAATGGACGCAGCAGAATTTCGTGCAGACGTTTCTTATGATGAACGACCGCTCCATCTACGATCGCGAGACCCAGCAATACACGGTGGACAAGTACGTGGATGCGATGCAGAGTCGTGTTGCCCCATTGACAGTGTGTTGATCTGGCCTTCATACCCGAACATCGGTGTGGACAACCGGAACCAATGGGATCTCCTACGAGGCCTTCCCGGTGGAGTCGAGGGCGTCAAGGGCGTCATCGCTGACTTCCATCGTCGTGGTGTCCGTGTGATCATCCCGTACAATCCATGGGATATTGGAACTCGTGACGAGTCTGGACTGGAAGAAATGGTACGCATGAACAACGCCGACATCACGACCCTAACGGAAGTAGTGGGTAATGGAACATTGCACCGCAGTTTTTTTTCCTTACCGTAATTTACCACCAAGAGACCACCTGAGAGCGAAAGCAACGTCTTTTGGATATTAGGGTAAGCTTAGCTTTAGACTCGCTCGACCGACAACATTCAAACTATATTTATAAAACAATAGATAATTTTATTATTACCTTCTCTTAGCCACCAATCAGGAATAAGAAATCAGTTCGTCGCCAACTATGCTTTAATTTGTAAGCTTTGAGTTCTGCGATATGGTTAGATAGGAACTTGTCGAAGCGTAGTTGCCACACTGGAATGCTATGAGTTCACATTGGATAACTATAAGTTCTCACGCTTGGCTAAGTACTTCGAGATAGATCTCTCCTTACGGTGCCATTCGGCATGAGCAGCGCATGCACCATACGAACGGAATCGCTTGTTGCATCTTGGATAGGGACACAGCAGATCAACTTCATCTTCTGACGACGAACCCGAATCCTGGTTCAAGACCATTTCCAACACAGGTGCGCGCATCTTGAAACCAGGAAGCACATCACCACCGTCAAGATCTCTCCACGCACTGTTGTCAGAGCATTGTACGTCTCCATTGTCGTCAAAATAGTACTCATACATCCGCTGAAGGTCTGGGCGTGGGTCGATCAGCCAACCCAACTGGACGCCGTGCTGGAAATAATCATTTCGCATCTTTCCATCAAGAGCGCTAAGTTTAGAGCCTAGACCAGAGAGCTCATAAATCTCAACAACAAAGGTGGGGACATAGGGATCGCCACGATACGTCCACATCTGTTCACGAGTCAAATTCCTGTCATCATATCGCGGTGTGTATGCCACGTCGGGCATTCTCACGTTTGGCTTTCCGAGACGCTGCTCCAGAATGAACGCCCCTTGCGAGGTTGTCACTCTGCCTCCTTTTCCAGACCACGTCGCCCATTCATCCAAAACTCTAGCGATCTTGGTTGCCACCTTCATATTGCCATACACGACCATTCGATAGGGACAGAAGCGGCCTTCGTCGATGAAGAACGCCGGCTGCTCGCCAAAAACGGGGTTCACCAAAGGACCGAGCTTCTTCGCGTGATTATTTAACTGCTCCAGCTCCACTCCAGGATAGTCCTTGACGTAGCACAAAGTCGTCTTCGTTTCCAAGTCGCACACGAGTCGCGTAAGGACGTCTTCGTGAGGTTTTTGCTTGTCCTCCATCGCTGCTCTTTCTCACTGGTTGCTTTGCTGACCGAGAAATTACACGATGTGGTCAACACTCGGTAGTTTTCAAGTTTGAAGGAAGCTGACAAAAATGTGGAGCCAAGGCCTCATTGCAGAGAGCAAGCGACAAGCTTAATGCGGCAAAGGTTGCCGGAGTTGTTTGAAAAGCGTGGCATACTGCTCGCCGTAAGACCGCAGGGGGTGCAAGCGATACGTATATTAGTAATACGCGCATAAAAAGTCATGAATGCGGAGCTTTGCCTTCTATCATAATATTTTATTCCTGATAAATATAAAGTTTGTTAATTACAAAGATGACGTACTCACCTGAACAATACGAACTTAACAAAGAGCGAATCCAAGCACTTTCATGGCGAAAATACGCTAAAACAAGTCAACTAAGCAGCGAGAATATGATGAGAAGAACCGCGAAGAAATTCGTACTCGTAAGAAGAAGAATTACTTAAATAAATCCGAACTTAACCAAAGCGAACTTAGCTAATTATTAAAAAAAATTCTCAGATATAAAGTCAGCCCTAATATAAAGTCGATCCTGATACAAGATCCGATAATTATAAAGTCGATTCTCACGAGATTAATATAGACGAAGATGTATAGGCAATATGTTTGCATACGAACTCGCAGGATTAAAGCGATTTAAATACTCAAGCTGTCAAATGGGGTAGCAGCTACCGAGTTAAGGTTCGAGGTAGAACTGGTAAGATGGTATATGTTAGCAACAGCTCACGTTCAGTCAACAAGAAATTGGTAGTACAATGTTTTAGTTGAAACCCTTGAGAAGCATATGTCGCCTGACTATAAGGATGATCCCAAGTACTGTTTTTACACTGGTTATCACATGGAATCACACCTATATGAGGGTGTCGAGGCTACTGATTTCTACGATAAGCTCGAGAACGTTCTTTCGACCCAGGCAAGTGCTTTTAAGGTAAATATTGCTCTTGGGTACGAACTTGTGAGCAAGACCGATCCTGATGATACTCGCTACTTCTATCCGAATCTCGCTAACACTTATGTGTTCAATAAGCCTGTCGCTATCAACAGCAAGGCTGATATTCCACCAGGCGAAAAATGTTCAAGAAGTGGAATAAGTACTCGATACCGGACCTCCGAACCAACATTGGTGATGACACCCTGAAGCAACCGCGAGTTGCCAAAATGTTTGAGAAATACATCAGGCGACGCAAAGACTTCAAGACGCCTGTAGCTTCGTAGTGGCAATCCTCGTTTCGTTGACAACTTGAAACCTCTGCCTTTACCGTCGTTGTATGCTCAGTGAATACTACTGACATCTCAGCTCAAATACAATTTTTGAGTGTTAGCGTTTGAAGGCATTCGTGCCGTGTTTTAAGGAAAAAACTGCATTCGCAAGATCCCAAAGTCGCTCACGTATGCCTTTGAACTGTTAGTATACCGGTGCCAATGAACAGTTTAATATATTCGAAAAAGTTGATTCATCCTGCTTTCGATACGGTCTCACTTGCCTTCTTCCGGTGGCAAATATCAAAGTCGTCTGTCAGCTTTGAGGAGACGTTCGTCCGGACGATTAAGGTCTCTTACTACATTACTTTAAAAAAAAAAATTGTGTACTAATCCAACAGTATTGCAAAGAAAGTTGTAGAACGTAGTATACTTCGATAGAAATCGGATTGTCGTTGAACCTTAGGGGGGGAACTTTGTGAACAATTTTAGACAACTTTGGAAAAATATTGACTCAAAGAGGGACCTGGCATATAAAATATAAGATGCATCTACAAAAGTGACGTAACCTGACCCGGGCAAGTGAGCAGCGAGGCCAAGGGATTAGCCATGTGAGTAAGGAGCCTGGAGCCCAGGCGCCCGGGGTTAACCGAGGGTACGGAAAAGGGGTATGTTACGTCTATAGGACAAAAGAGAAAGATGAGCTGGGGGAGGTCGAGGGTTATCCGTTGACGAGGGCCATACGAGGTAATAGAGGGCGTGTCATAGTAGAG